CGCTGCGGCCCCGGGATCGCCGCGGCCGCGCCTGCGCGTGCCCCTCTCCCCTCCCGGACAAGATGGCGGCCGCGGGGGCACCGGCCGGGGGCGGCGAGTGAGGGACGGGGGCGACGCGGCCGCGGTGCCGCGTCTGGGGGGGGGGGCGGCTGCTGGGCAGGGACAGCGGCAGGGGCTTCGGAGGAGGCGGCCGGGGGTGTCCCGAAGCTCCGCAGCGGGGATGAGGAGTCGGGGAGCCGGGTCAGGGAGCCGGTGAGGAAGGAGCGGGGCTGCTCCGTATGCGCGGCTGCCCGGCGCCTCTCGCCGCCCCGGAGTCGGGGCGTAGTTCGGCGGCCCGGCGGAGGCGTCGGAGGAGCCGCGGCGGCTCTGGCGGGGGCAAAGGAAGGCGCACAGGTGAGTGCCGGGAGCGGGCTGAGCCCTCGGGGCGCTGCTCCTGTCCGGTCCAGTGCGTGTCACTCGAAGACAGTGCAGCAGCTTTGTTTTGCGTTCCTTTTTAAAAATTTTATTTTGCGGTAGCGCGATGTCATTTGACATTACTTGGTTTGGTCCTTCAAAATAAGTCTGAAAGCATTCAGGTACTCCATAGCTAGAATACCTCTGGAATATGAAGGCTGCGTCTTAGGAAGAGCTGACCTGCTGTTTCCTGAGAAAAGGTATCTAAAGGACTTGACTTGCAAAAACCATAGTTAAAAACTCCACTGTTAAACGAGTCATTAACCTGGAAACTCTGTGAAGAGGCTTTATTTCTTCTGTTATATGCCCTCTGACCTCTGGTGACGAAGGGTGGGTGTGTACAGGTGTCTGTGACCACAGCCTTAGATTCTGTAGTAATTTTAGCCTTAGCGGCCATTCACCACTTCAGAATTGAGCGGATGTAAAGCGAAATAGTACCAGTCTCTGTAAACGTCAGACTTCATCGAGTAAGTGCAGAGAAATGAAGATGCAGGTGTACTAAACTATCTGACTTACTTGTTTGCTGCTGCCTTGCGTGTCCCCCCCCTCAGCTATAAATGGTATAATGATGCTGACCTGTAGAGCTGTAAGACAAGCCTTTTGTTAAGGCTGGCACAGAAACTTCTAACTTCCTGAAAAAATAAAACATAGTTCTGCAGAATCTGTTTTCATGTACTTGCTTCTACCAGGCACTGGTTGAACTAGAGGAGATAGTTCTGTGTACAGGTGGAGAAGCACAGATTTGTAAACTTTGCTTCAGAAGTACTGCTAACATTTAGATAAGTTAAGGCTACATCAAGAGTTAAGTGAGATTAGGTCATTAATTGAAATGCAGAGAAACAGAACTTTTTCCTCTGCAGGTGCTGTAATATTAATATTTTTAAACTGACATTGAAAAAGCTTGTATGCCAGATGGGTTTGTCCAGTCCTAAGCACTCAAGAAATATTGAAGTGGAGATCATGAGATCATTGTTGTGCTTCAGCTTCAACTTCCTTGATACGGTTTTTTCCTTTAGTTAGAGTGAAGATATTTATAGTGTAGTTGTGCCCATTGACAAAGGCCTTTCAAGTACTTGCTCTCCTTAGGTGCTTATATGTGTCAAAATAGCGTATTTGGTTTGAGGTGTATATGTACTTGGTTGCATAAAGGAGAAAGAAAGATTGTGGACAGCCATATGGTGATATAGTTACTGAATTATTGGTTTTTATTTCTAAGAAATACAATAAGAAACTCAGCTGAGCATAAAGCATGTATTACAGCCCGCCTTGTTTATGCACATCCCCCATGCAATGAAACCCATGCTCAGATATGTCAAGTGGCTGTTGATACCCAGACATCTGCTGCACAAAGTATTCCCCACGTAAGTGACATCACAAATACACAAATGCAGATTTTTTGGAACATACAACAAATACTGTCAGCAGTGTGTTGTGCCACTGTATGCAGTGAGTTTGTGGTAGTATTTTGGTTTGTATTAATGCTAAACTAGTAGCTGTTGACCCTAACAAACACCTGCATTTTGTATTTGCAGTATCTTCAGTATGCTTAATACACAAATATACTTATTTTATGTCAAAAACTCAGTGTTAGAATTTACTTTTCATAAATACTTTTAGGTTATTTTTAGAATCTCTTCTATCTAGATAACCTGTCATTGTATTTAGAACTAAACAGCTTAGTTAACAATAAATCTTCCTCAATCCTGTCATGATTGAGATAGAAAATTTTGATGTGGCTCGCCGGGCCACCGAACTACGCCCCAAAATTTTATCTTTGCTAAAGTCTGAAAATTCCTTCTTTTTGTACAAGCAAAACAGGTTGAATTGGTTTTTAATAGTTAACTTCTGTAGTGTCTTTCAAGCAGCTCAGTAACAATAAACGGAAGTATTCACACAGGTGATGAATGCTTTTGGAAATACTTGCAAGCTGTTCTGAAGTATCATGAGTGCATGAAAATACCATGGAGGAAAAACTGAGGGAGCAGGGCCTGTTTAGTCTGGACAAACCAGAATCACATCAGTGTCTGTAAGTATCTGAAGGGAGGGTGTCAAGAGAGAGAGCCAGACTCTTCTCTGAGGTGCTGAGCAGTAGGAGAAGAGGAATGGGCAGAAACTGATGCACAGGAAGTTGCACCAGAATATGAGGAAGAACTTCTTTATGCAGATGATCACACACTGGGACAGATTTCACAGAGAGGCTGTGGAGTCTCCCTCATTGGAGATATTCCAGAACCTGGAGAGAGTTCTGGACAATGTCATCTAGGATGACCCTGCTTGAGTAGAGAGGTGGGACTGGTTGAGCTATTGTGTCCCTTCTACCCTTACACATCCTGTAAGGAGGAAGTGAAAACACACCACTGATTTAGGATAGTATTCATCTTGTCTCTACTTCTGCAACTTCTCAGAAGTTGTTTCATAGCATTATACAGTAGAAATCTGTTAATTCTGTGGTCTTCACTCACACTTACCTAAAATTTAGTGTAAGAATCCTTTGGATTTTGGATTGTGCCTCATATTCTTCTTTGAGTTGTCTCAGTATAATTTGGACATTAGAAAGCAATATGTAGTTTTTTTATATCAAGTTACCATGTTTTCGCAGTATGGTTTTAGTAACTTACAGGATATTGATGCAATAAGCAATCAATTAGCTTGTAGGTAATGGACTTGGTTAATGAAATACAGACTTTAACATTTCATGTTTTAATGGAAGTATCAAGATTATTAATATTAAAAGAAAAAAGTGTCAGGATTATTTTATGATCATTGAAGTGTATTTGGAAGTTTCCATTTTAAGTTTAAAAATGTATGTATGAAACACACTGAATGAATGTATGTGAACTCTGCTGCGAAATAGTTGTAACTCATTTTTAAGTGAATCTTTTAATTGTTTGCTGTTCAAGCTCATATTATTTTCATAATCCTTTTTTTATGAATATTGGTAAAGTAAAACCCCAATTAGTTCATAGACACACCTCTGATACCCTTCAGATTAACATACCCAACTTAAAAAGTTTCACTACTTCACACTGTTGGGATTTTGGTTCTAATCAACTAGAATTATCACTACAAATGCAACTTTGGTTAAAATAGTGTTAAAAATAAATGTGGTGGTTATTTCAATAGCACATCGTGGTATGCTGTCATAGAACGTTAGGTGTTGCCTGATTGCTGTTCAGTTTTAGTTGAAAGGTAGCAATGAGTTGTATCATTTGTAGCTGGGTGGTAAAGCTACTGGGCAGTGAGCATTTGCTCAATATTGTATCTCAATTTAACAGGGATAATGGAGGATGGGAGAGAGGTGTGTGGTTGGAAGAAAGATTAAAAAGATAAATGCTTTTTTAGATTTGGTATCTCCATGTGCTACTTTAACAGTACCTCTGACACTGCTTGCTGGTCGTGGTCACAAAGATAATATATGCTAATTTGAATCTACTGCCAAAGATTAATTGGATTCATGAGTATGTTCATTTGTGTCTTAAAGCAGTTATTCTTTATTAAATATTGGTCATCTCTAGTGGAAATAAAATATTTTAGAAACATTAATGCTTTTTGAGATCAGAGAGAATTCATTTTGCCATTACTTCCACATGGATTTTAAGAAGATAAATAAAATTCAGTGGACAAGACTATGGTCTGAATAAGTAAATACAGTTGTATTACAGGACAAATAATTTGATTTCCCTATGGAAATGTTAATTGAAAGCATTGAAGTTTAAGTAGCAATAGCATTTTGATATGGCCTTCATAGGTGTAGTATTATTCTTCAGGGGTGCGTTTTAACCCTAAGGTAATAGAATATTAATCTGTAATGGAAGACAGATTATTCATGTAGACTTTATTTTCAAAATAAAAAGAATTTAGACTGTGCAAAGTAGTATGATGCTGCTCTTAATGCAGTGATTTTTTGAAGCTACGAACTTTATATTCTTACCCTATAACAGAATTCTGGTGACATAGTCAAACATTACTTAATACTTAGGTTTTATACATAGGTTAAATTGTTGGAGTGAAAGTTGCTTATTTTTCTGGAAATCAGATACCAATAAAAAGCTCTTACTTTTCTGTTAATGGTATGATTGTTGGCTGCTTTAAATAGATTCTGAAATGTGCTGAGTTTCACAAAGCTGAGTTTGGCTGTTAGTAGATTGGCCTTTTTTTGTAGTAACTGGCTTGTGGAGGGAACTGGAAGGAAACTAGGACTTCTCATTGTTGTGTGACAAGAGTGCAAAGAAATCATGAAAGCATAAATTGTGTGAGTTGGCTTTCCCTTTATTAATGGAAAAAGGTTCTCAGGATCACATGAGCTTTTTCTCGTAGCTGAAACCCCTGCTATGGAGAATCCACATTGCTGCTGTTCTTCTATTTAAAGAATCTCAGCCAAGAATCTCTTTAGAACTAAGCAATTTTTTTTTCCTTACAGAATAGTATTAAAAATTCTGATTTAACACATTTTATTTAGGTGTATTACACAAATATGCCTACTTTGTCTCATTGTTCTCTCACTATAGGTGAAGGAGGTCATAAAACTCAGTATAGTACTTGGCTGTGCTTTGCCATTTCTTGGAATAAGATTTAAATTTGTTTGCATACTATAAGATGAAAGTCAGCTGATGAATGAGAAGCATTTCCCTGAAGCCCTTACTGGCTTGTTGTCAACTGGAGTTTGTGGGTTGAGGACTCTGTGTAGGTAGTGAGGTGACTTCTGATTCAGGTCTGCCAAGCTGCCTCAGTGCCAGGGCAGGCCATGGAGCAGATTGTGCTGAGTGTCATCTGGTCTTCAGGATGACCAGGGAATCAGGCCCTGCCTTCCTAGGATCCTGGCATGGATTTATGGAAGGCAGGTCCAGCTTCACCAACCTGGTCTAATGTGACAACGTGACCTGCTTGGTGGATGAGGGAAAGGCTGTGGCTGTTGCCTGCCTGGACTCTAGCAAAGCCTT